ACTAGTCTGATTTGGAATTCTATTACTTGTAACCCAAGTCTTTATTGAAAACAAAGCAAAACAAACCATTTGCTATCAATTCTGACTCATGGTAACCCTGTGCAATGTGTTGCAGAGTAGACCTGCTCTGTCTCCAGACCTTTCTCCCATGGTGCTACTGGGTGTGTCCAACTTGCCAACCAACCTTTAGGTTAACTGTTGTTGTTAAGTGCCGTTGAGTTGGTTCCTACTCATAGTGACCCTGTATAGAGTTTCTGAGGATTGGCTGCTGAGTTTAAAGCACCAGCCTTTGGTTCAAACTGACCTTAGTTTGAGTGCTTATCCTACAGTGCCACACAGTTTACACTACCTTCATGAGGACCTTTGCTGCCAGGTTGAATCCGATTCAAAACAACCCTACAAGACAGAGGAGAGCTACTCCATAGGGTCCTGAGGCTGTCAAGCTTTACAGAAGCAGGCTGCCTCATTTTTCTCCCATAAAGTGGCTGGTGGGTTCGAATTGCCGGCCTTTTGGTTTCAGTGCTTAACTCACTGGATCACCATGGCTCCTCTGGATCCTTATGTTGTTAAGTGCCATGGAGTCGGTTTTGACCCACAGTGACCCTGTATAGGGTTTCAGAGGAGCGGCTGGTGGGTTTGAACCGCCGGCCTTGTGGTTAGCAGTCCTATACAGCACCACAGCAGGAGTCCAGAGATATGTCTAAAAGTTGTATAAACTTAAGTACAAAAAAACAAGAGCATACGAAAAATGCTTCTGAAGAATGAACATTTATTTATCAATCAAATCATCCTTTTCAAGTCTATTTGTTTATAAATCCAAATCTTCAGATGGGAGATGTACTTATAACACACCAGAATTATTATATAATTGGATGGGAGAGCAGCTAAAATGGACTGTAGGCCAGTTGTTCCAGTTTTTCATGTTCAATCTGAATGAGTTGAAAAGTTTATGAGTCACATAGAAAATTAAATACTTGTAGATGATAAAAACATCGCACCCACTCTATTATATAATAAAATGCAATTGAATATTTGCTTAAGTAATAAAATGGTTAAGAAATGATTTGGGTTATAATCAGAAGAATATAATTATATATCTGTAGAAAGATAAACACTTCCCAAAGAAAATTCCAATTAAAAAAAAGCATTCTCAAACATTTTATATATATAAATAAACTTTACATACTTTTGTTTTACTGTCCAAAAAACCCACAAATTTGACAAACTGATATCAAAGCCCAAGTTTTCTCAAACATGAGTTCCAAGGGATTACTATGTCTGTGGTGTTTGATAAGAAACACCACAATTCTTAGAACACAGCACGTTCGGGCAGAGAAGAGAAATGTCTACCAATACTCACACATCTAGGGGCAGAGAGGCTGGGTAAAGGAGACAAAGAACTAAGAGGGGAGATTATGTTACTAGATATAGTTCCAAAGGGAATAAAAAAACACAATCCCCCAAAACAAGCTGCTGTCAAGTTGACTCCGAGTCATGAAGCCCCTATAGCACAGCAGAACTGTGCTCCACAGGGTTTTCAGTGGTTTTTTAGGAAGTAAATTGGCAGGCCATTCTTCAAAGGTGCCTCTGGATGAACCTGAATGTTTAACCAGGCAGGGCCTTCACTAAGGGGAAACAGACACGATCCAGGCAGACAGAGACTCTGTGGCCCAGAGAGAGAATTCACGATCTCTTTTTGAAATGTTCAGAGACAGATTCCATCAGGACTTTTGGTTTGAGTCAAACCTTTCATCTTGAACTTGGGACTTCTTGACCGAGGTACTTGGGATATGTTAAGGGAAAAAGACGAGTACAGTCAGACTCAGTTTTGCTAGACAGGATGTGAGAAGCCCAGCTGAGAGAATAAAGTCAGCACTCAGAGAAAAATCTGTGTTTGGGGTGAAGAAGCGTTCACACAAACAGTTGTTGCTTGTTGACAGAGCAGGAAAGGAGACAGACTGGAGTGTAGGCTCTTTAAGAAAGAGGAAGGGGAGGTGACTGCAACACGCAGGGCTGCAGAGGAGCCCTCTGAGAATGCAGAGACTGGAGTAGAGAAGGAAGTATACAAGCTTTTGTTCCTTTACCATCTGCTCTAAGCACCTGACCACATTTCCTCCAGGTGTCCCTGGAAGAGGTAAGCTACCTGAATCTACTGAAAAACCCACTGCCATAGGGTCTATTACTCATAGTGACCCTGCCGAGGGCTTCCAAGAGCTGTACATCTTCGCAGGAGCAGACAGTCTGTTTTTCTTGGAGGGGAAGGTTTGAACTGCTGACATTGCGGTTAGCAGTCAAGTGCTTATTTACAGTGTCACCAGGGTTCCAGCACCTGTTATGAAGTGCCATTGAGTTGGGAGTTCCAACTCAGCGACCCTGTCTACGGTTTCTAAGGAGTGGCTGGTGGGTTTGAACCGCTGACATCGCAGTTAACAGTCCTGTGCTCATCCTACAGGCCACACCAAGCTGTGGTTAATTTCCCCCTGTGTGAAACATACAGCTGCTGCTGTCGGTGCTAATGCCTTGTTGCCTAGAGTGAGCTGAATCCTGGTAGCCAGCAGTGGCTATAGCATCTTAAAGGGTCCTGGTAACACACTGAGTTACGACTTGGGCTGCAGTTTGAATCTACCAGGTGCTCCATGAGAGAAAGATGAGGTTTTCTGCTCCTATGAAGATTTACAGCCCAGACAAGGTTGCAATGAGTCGGAACCCACTTGAGAGCACACAACCACCACATGACATGCTTAAGGATCCCTGGCAGCAGGGTGGGTTAAGTGTTGAGCTGCTAACCACAAGGTTGGTGGTTCAAACCCACCAGCTGCTTTGAAGAAGAAGAGGCAGTCTGCTCCTCTACAGATTTATAATCTCAGAAACTCAATGGAACCTTTCTACTCTGTCTTCTCAGGTTACTATGAGATGGAACCAGCTCAATAGCAGTGGGTTGGGCCAGCAATGGGGAAGCCACATTTGCACTTGTGGCTAAACTAGTTTTCAGATGGCCTACATGTGACTCAATAGGCAGAACACAAGCTTCACTCTAACATGGAGACATGCACGGAGTCCCCATTATCCATGAGAACTCAATGTTCCCAAGGCAAGAATACATACGTTAAGTAAAAGGGCTGTGTTGTAGTGCACAGACTTCCACAGCAAAATCAAAGGCCCTCGGTGACTGACAGGATGAAGCAGCGCGGCAGCTCCAGTCGGAATGTCATGTGGGAATGCTTTTGGCAGGATATAAAGCCATTTCTGTTTTTAACCTACACAAGTCAATGCTTGCTTGGGAACATGATTTGTATCAGGCACTTCTCTCTCTTGGGAAGTGTCTGCTCTGGAGGTGAAGCTGCATGGCAGTGTGAGCCCAGCATCCTTTCTAGCACAAGGAGAAGCTTCATCCTGTAGTCACAGGTGTTCTCAATGGGAGGCCCCGTACTGAATGAAGCCTCAGTTACTTAAGGCAACAGCTAAATGCGCAGGATTTTCTGAGGGTCCTGTTCTGAAAGGGGAAGAATGTGTCAAAAAGAATTTTAATAAGCAGGTAAGGAGTGTGTGAATCTACCTGAAAAAAAAAAAATGCATGAGGGTGCTTCCCTTTGAAACTGATAACACAAATGCAGAAATACATGATTTCTGCCATGAGAGCTCTGAGTCTTTGTACCACACAAATAAGGTTCAATGACTCAATCTTTCCAATGTGGAGAGATGGCATTCAAGTGACAAAGGGTACATTTTTGACTAATTGGCTGAACGGTGACAATGGGGAATTTGTTCTATCAATTGGATCAATACTCTTTAGGTGGTAACTCCTTTGCTCCCGACTGTGCGCACGTGGGGGAAGACAGGAGGAGGTTCTATCAACTCGGTTATTATTTCTAAAATGCGTACTCTCTCCACCCTGCCAGTCATTTACATAAGATGTGTGTGTTTCTCCAAATAACCCCAGTGGGATCTAGGAGTTTGTTTTAAATATAGAGGTAAGGCAGATGTAATGATGTCTTTAACAAAAGAAAACCAGCTAGAATTGGATGACAACTGCTTTGACAGCTCTCTACTCATTTTGAAAGTCTAATGGTCTGAGGTGGTCAAAGGCATGTTATATTCAGAGAGAGGTTTCATTTCTAAAGAGTGAATCCTAGAGAAGAAAGCTCAGTGCCTTCATTGTATCAGGAGTAGATGTAGCATACAGTGTAGTGCTGAGAGTAACGCCTCAAGTGGGGAGAAGCAGCAGAGGAAGACAGGGAGGGAGGGTAGGGGGAGGAAGCTCTAGCATCCTAAGAGGAAAAGAAGAGTTCCCATTACACCGCAACACTTGGTTAGACAACCCCATTTGGTAGCTGGACGGCACAGTAACAAGTAGTGGTAACTTACTAAGACAATGGCAATCAAAAACAACAAAAGAAACCTCTTCCAGTGTAGAAAGACAGCTGTACTGTTAGCATTCCAATCAGCCAGAGTGGAAACATGACAGAGTAGCCACAGACAGGGACCAACTGATGTAAAGGACAAAGTGTCAGGGCAAGAGGATTGGGTGTTCCTGGTTCAGTTGCAATGGTACTTTAAGTACTGATGAAGCCACTCCACCTTCCAACACACATCCTCTGTGTGATAGAAGATTTACAATGGTAGAAAATTACATGGTAGTTATTGCTGGCATGCGTAGCAGGTTAGACCAAGCTCATTGGTCCATCTGAGTAGACTCTTCATTGCTTTGTCCACTGCCATTCAGCATTACAGAGCCAACCAGATAGAAAAGGTGAGAGGGACAGTTGTTAAACTCCTGATGCCTTTACTGTGGGTCTTGTAAGTATATGAGGGGACTTCAAAAGTTCGTGGAAAAATTAGTCTCTTTTAATTCCATTTGTTTATGAACTTTTTGTAGTATTCTCATATATGTCCATATAATTTGCACAAAAATAAATAATATACATCAAAATCAGGGTTCAAAGTTGAAGTGAGAAAAATAGTTAAACACTCTGGTGTTCTTAAGGCAAAACAATAGAGCTCTTGAAATAGACATTTTATTATATCCACAGGCGGTAAAATCCCAGAGCTACTGTTAGGCAAGTAAATACAGACCCTGTTAAAAACAAATAATGGAGAGTACTATTAGTTGTATTAACAGTTACTTGAGGAGACACCTTTTTTATGAAGAGCACACACACGCAACCCATACAACAAAAAAATAACAACACAGGATGGCTCATTCATGTGCTATATACCACAAAATGCCTGCTCATACACAAAACAAACTCCACAGCCTGAAAACATCGTCTTCAAAGCAAAAATACAGCCAATATTCAAGAAAACTTCAGTAAAAGTTCAGACTCACAAAAGTCTGTATTCACAAAGTATATGTCTATGTACTATCAAGGGACAGCAAACTTTTACTACTAAACACTGTCAGCACTTTCCATACCATTTTAACTCACCAAAATGGTATGTTTGACTTTTGAGCTGACTGCGACCCATAGTGACCCTGTATAGGGTTTCTGAGGAGCAGCTGGTAAGCTTGAACTGCTGACCTTGCAGCGCAAAGGGCATTGCAGTCTGGTGCATTAACCCACAGTGCCAACCAGGACACATATATACATATATACACACACACACACACTCTCACATATCTATCTCTATATATATATCTATATATATCTATATATATATATATTTTTTTTTTTTGGTTCATGAATCTTCATTGCTGCTTTTGTCAAAAACATGTAAAAGCAAAATAATTCCTTAAAAGGGGTATCACCAATTGGAGAAGAAAAAAATCACTCACTCAAAAACCACAAAATATTTATCTCGAATTATCACTGAATAAATTCTACTTCAATTAGGCTATCTTATCCAATTTGAGATACCATTGATTGTAACATGCACCACTATCTTTATTTATTCCAAACAAAGAAAAATGCCAATTAAAATGATATGCCCTTCATTGTATGGTATCACCCAACTTCAGAGATGTTAAAATAAGGGGAGGGGAAAGGTGAGTTACAATCAGTGGAATGCAGTAACTATCACTGACTTATTTTAGGGGATATTTACCTGCTAAATACTTAATATTATCAAGCTTGTGCGACTCGAGCATGGTTTTGAGGCCAGCAACCTCTGTGTCAATCTTCCGATTTGTCTGGGTGAGAGCTCGGTCCTGCTGGGCATGCTTGGAAAACAAACAGATTCACAGCCAGCGTTAGACCACTTCCAGTTACTGCCTGCTGCTCTGTGGACCCTAGGGTTCCTTTTCAGCAGGGCACACACAGGGAACACGGGGCTGAGATGCTTTAGAGTTTGAATTCCAGCCAGCCAGAACTTAATTCCATTTTGCTTGTTTCAAGTGTTCAGATGCCAATGTTTCTTGAGTCCCTCATGTACCTCTGATGGCCAAACTGCCCGAGTTAGAAACAGATGTATTTAAAAGTGGGTTTGGGGCCCTTCCCCTAGCCAGCACAGGAAAGACAGAAACTCTTTTACAAGAACTTTCCCATACATGTCCCTAAGGTTGCCTAGATGTGACATCACACCCTTAGAGCCTCAGAGACCATCTGTAAGCTTTCCTACTTACAGCAGTCCCCTCGATGTGCCACCATTCGTATGTGACACATTGCTGATGTCAGTTGCAGTTGTGGGAGGAGATTCCTTTGTTTTCTGTGCCCTATAAAAGGTCACCATGTGGAAGCAGAACTTTGGATTTCCCTCACTGGGTGTTCTATTTTTATTTTGTTTTTCTCTTACTCCTGTTTGTTGTTGTTGTTGTTGTTAAGTGCCGTCGAGTCGGTTCCGACCCATAGCGACCCTGTACAGGGTTTCCGAGGGTGTAAATCTTTACGGGAGTAGAAAGCCTCATCTTTCTCCCGTGGAGTGGCTGGTAGTTTCGAACCGCTAACCTTAAGGTTCGCAGCCCGATTCGTAACCACTACGCTACCAGAGCTCCTTTTTAGGACTTAAAAAATAAGTCTCCATTGTATTTACATATGTGTAGATGGGGTGTCTTTTCTTCCATAGAACAGACACTAAGGAGACTTGGGTTTTAGCCCGAGTTCTATTCTTTTCACACTATTTGTCAGGACCTTTAACTTCTTTAGGCCTTACTTTCCTTCTCATTAGAAAACTGATACAGCATCGGCCCTGCCTTCGTACAGGCTGTTTAGAGAATCATGAGAGCCTCTGTGTGAGAAAGCTTCAGTGAGTCATAAATTGCTCTACAAATAAGTCATGTCTCATACTTCAAAATCCCCCCCTAGTGAAATACCCACACCCACTGCCACCAAGTCGATTCTGATTTATGGTAACCCTATAGGGCAGACTAGAACTGCTCCATGGGGTTTTCCAAGCAGTAAATCTTCATGGAAGCAGCTTGCCTCATCCTTTTCCCACTGAGTGACTGGTGGGTTTAAACTGCCAAGCTTTTGGTTAGCAACTAAGTGCTTTAACCACTTTGCCACCATGGGACCTTCAAAGGTAGTCAGTAGACTCAAGATTTTTTTTTTCTAAAAATAGAGCCTTAGATAATCTAAAATTTATAGATTATCTTGCCTTGACCCTATTACTATTCAGAGTTTCAAGCACTTTCTGCTTTCATAATTCAAATGCCAAATGCTTCATTATTCTGAGGCTTGTCTGTCCCAGTGCCAATTTATGTCCTTTCCCAAAGAGAGTACAGTTAAACATGCTACATAATTAACCCCACAGGGTACTAAATATGACTGCTGTCATAAAGTGGTTATAATATTTCATTTGTCACTAAAGACACTATAAACGCTTCACTAAAAAAACCCAGGGCAAATAACTAGCTCCGTACAGCTGCCAATTCAGGCAGAGGATAGACTAGAAAACTATCCCAGAGGTGAGCCACAGGTCTCTTCATGGAAGTCTCTTATAGGCCCTGAAGGCCCAGGTAATAAATACAGTTAGAAAAATGTATGCCACAAAGTTAACAAAACAATAAAGTCTGTGTTTGTTATTATATTGAGATTCTGTAATCAGTAAGATTTAAACCTTCATTAAGAAAAAAAAAAAAAGAATATACAGCATTTTGTTAAATACAAAAAAATCCTATGACAATAAACCCAAGCAGATCTTCCTAGAACATATCGTTAACAAACAGTGCTAACTATATGTGGGATGACTAAAGATAACTAAAATGACAAAGGAAAGTCAAAGTCTCCTTTCTTACCAATGCCACCACTTCGGTCCTCATTTCCAGCAGCTTCCTTTCATTCAATGAATACTGAAACAGACAGGGAATGTGCATCAGCTTCCAACTTATCCTGTTATCATCTCTTCTCCATCCCCTATTGTTGTCAAGTGCCATCCAGTTGGTTCCAACTCATAGCAATCCTGTGCAGGGTTTCCAAGGAGCGGCTGCTGGGCTTGAACTGCCAACCTTGTGGTTAGCAGTTCAGTGCTGATCCTACAGTGCCACACCAGAACTGCATCCTCTAGAGTCTTAAATATTTAGTTCTAGGGCTTCCAAGGGTATGTAATACCAGAACATCACTTTTGGAAGGGAGTAGCCTATCTGCCTTTCTCTTTGTGTGGTACTCACTCATCCCTCTAGTATCTGGGTTCCCTTTGCTCATTCTTCACCCATCTCTCTGCTGTGGTTTTCTGTTTTCAACCCTTTATTGAACTGTCTTCAGGCCCCTCCCACTATTACAAGAGCCCTCCCAGGGCCAATTTATCAGGATGCTGGGTCATAGACTTAGTGTTACAAATGGTGGTGAACAAGTCAACTCAGGGGCTACCCCACTGTAACTACAACAAAGCAGGGCACTCCTCAAGGCTTAGACACGAGGCAGGAAAGACCTAAAGCTGGGAAAAAAACATAGTTTCAAGGAGTATAATTTTGTGACAAAGACATTTGTGTTATGGTTAAATATAATATAAATACAGAGACTCCAAAAATACACCAAACCATCACATGGTAGTTTTAATTAGAAACCAAACAAGAAAAACAACCCACCGGGGTGCAGTCATGATCCAGAGTTACTACAGAAACTGACCACTGTACAGTTTTGTTAAACTGAGATTAAAATCAGACAAACCTTAGTTCTGGGCATGAGGGTTTAATTGAGCAAATGTCAATCTGCAATGAAGTGAAGATTTTGAAGACCTAACCTAACACACTCAACAACTGTTGAGTCAATTCTAACTCACAGAGACCCTGTATAGGGTTTCTGAGACTGTCCATTTTTACGAGAACTGAAATCTTCCTCCTGAGGAGTGGCTGGTGGATTTGAACTGCTGACCTTGCAGTTAGCAGTCCAACATCTAAACCATAGCACTACCAGGGCTCCTTTAAATTAACACACGGGAAAACCTAATATTTTGAAGTAACTAGAAACTTTCTAGCTATAAAGTGTTCCCCTGGGATTACCGGGGGAATAGAACGTAAGAACAGCATCGCTTAAAAGTAGGAAAAGAAAAATAATCAACCACTTCAAACTAAGGGCTTTAGTCATAAAAGCAACAATGCTCATCTCTGTCTTTGAACATTAGAGTTTCAAAGAGAGCGCTGTGTGGATCAGACCACCACCAGAGGGCAGGCTGGAGCTGGTTTTTCTTCACTCATTCAATAGTGACAGATCCATAAGAGAAAAGTCTACATTTTGACATTGCTGTGAGTTTTAATATAAAATCCATGTGGCACTGTGGGTTAATGCACTGGACTTCAAAGTCGTTTGAACTGTAAAGTCGGTGGTTAAAGCTCACCAGCTGCTCCTCGGAAACCCAAACGGGAAGCAATGGGTCTGAACCGACTCGACAGCACTTAACAACAAGCACCCCAGAGCTGCAATGCTGTCAAAACTGGCTGTAAATATCACTAGTTAATTTAAACAGTGTAATAATTTTATGAACCAACAGAACTCAAAGGCCAAATTTACTTATATTCATCAATTCATTAAATATATTGTTGTTAAGTGCTGTCGAGTTGATGTCTACCCATAGCGACCCTGTATAGGGTTTCCAAGAAGCAGCTGGTGAGCTTGAACCACTGACCTTGCAGTTCAAACGACTTTGCAGTCTGAAGCATTAGTCCACAGCGCCACACCAGGACTCCTGCTGTATAATAATAATAGTTATATAATCATAGCATCACTGCTATAAACTAACACAAAATCCCAAGATGATCAGTTTAATTTTGGCAAAATCAGGGAGATATATTAAATCAATGTTTCAATCTGACTAATAGATATATATGTAACACCACTTACGAACTGCATATAAGTTTTACTTTCTTATTACAACAGAGCTAATAACCTACTTGAAAATTTTAGTTAAGGAACATACCAATTCTTTTACTCTGCTCTTTTCTAGATTGAAGTCTAATTTGGTGTCTGTCCGGACTTTGATCACTTCATCCTAGCGGGAAGGTAAACAACAGAGAAAGAAAGATGCAAAATGAGAAATCAAAACTCTCTGAGGATGCCACGCCTTGAGGTACTGCCCACTGCTTCTAGCGCCTATGAAGGGAGCCAGCATGGGGACCAGGATGGGTAACATATACACTCAGTCCTGCTTCAGGACTTCTCAGTTCTAGATGCCACATAATCAATCACCTGGACGCTTAAACCACTCTGGGATGGGTTCTTTGTTGTTGCTTTTAACCTCAAGGATTCCCAACACAGTCTCCTTTTGAAATTTATGAATGAACCACTTTGGAAAACAGAGATGAACTCAAAGACATAAAAAAATCTGATTTAAATAAAGCTTTAGCTCGGACTCCCATCAAAACCCTTTTCTCTGCAACATCAATGACCTTTCTACTTAGAAAAATCAAAGAGCTGGCTGTGGTAAGCTTAAAATCACATGATATACCCTAAAGACAGAGTCTCATTTATGAGAATCGAAGGGTTTCACACAGCAACTTTAGAACCATTTTGATTTAAAAACGACTTAATTCCTCCTAGAATACAATTTTCTTAATGAACGTAGTAACAGACATAAATTCAGCAATTTACCTATTGCTTGTTAGCTAAATCTTTCAATGTGTACTTTAGAAACATATTACACAAACATTTAACATATAGAATTACAATTTTAAGAACAAGTCATTTCTGACATTATAGTTATTAATATGTTTATATAATTAGAAATAAGCAGGCAAACGAGAGGATCTTACCATTACTTGTTGTTTTAACTGAAGTAGTTCAAGTTTGATTTTCTAAAACACATTAAAAAGAAACAAGTCAAGAACAACTATATACTGTTAAAAGTTAGGAAAAATATCTGACACCGGGTAATCAACAACTTTTCATGTACAAGTTATTCCCTAATTCAACAGGCTCTTAACTACATTCAGGATACAATATTAACTGAACAGTCTTAGTGGCAGAAGATGATTGTTTGTCATACCAAGATGGTACTGCAATGTACATTTGTGTGTATGTGTGTGACTGTATCTTCAAATCAGAAAATTTAATTCATCTTAAAGATTATCTAAGCACTCGGTTGCTGCAAGGCTGGAAGTTCAAATTCGCTCTACTGGAAGAATATGGGGCAGTCTGCCAGTCTGCTTCCCTTTAGATTTATAGACATTTTAGAATCTCTGTAGTTCACAGATCTAGTCTGTCTGATAGGGTTGTTGTGAGTCAGCTTGACTTGACAGCAATAAGTTTGTTTTTTAGAGGTTAAGATTAGTAACACAATTGAGCTACTGTTGGTTTGGTTTTTTTTATTTTGGGGAAAAAAAACTATTATCACTAACAATTTGGAAAAATCATCAATTTCTTCGGAGATGAAAAAAACACTCAAAGCATCATTTGGAAAATCTCCTTGTTAAGTGAGAATACAGACAAGTTGCCAGCCTCCAGCTTTGGCTGCTGGAAGAAACATGATTGCCAGGAAGGAAGAAGAGCAGAACTTGAGGTGGAACTGGTCAGATCAAGACTAGTAGTGTTGTGTTAGTATCAAAGTCCAGAAGGCAGGCAAGAACAGAGTTGAAGACTTTTGTTCATTCAAGGGGCATTAGACACAAATTCCAATTAAATAGCCAGTGGTTAGTGTTGGAGGTGGCCAACCAAACATGAGGAGATTCCAGAGGAAGGGATGCTGGACATTGTGTTTGGACCCAGCACAGAGGAGTCCTGGTGTGGTATTGTAGGATAAGCACTGGGCTACTAACCACAAGGTTGGTAGTAGAAACCCACCAGCCACTCCTCAGATGCCCTACACTTAATTAACTGTTGATCTTGTCAATCACATTTTCAAAAACTAAGGAAGTACGGGGAGGCTTCAGAAAGTTCATGGAGCATTATCATGCTCTTAAAATTCCTGTTTTCCATGAACTTTTAAAAGCCGCCTTGTATCTACACTTAGTCATCATAACCCCAAACTTACATCAACTAAATGTGTTTCAACCCGAGATGAGATAAATGTATTGTGGCATATTTTACAATTGGAGTCCTGGTGTGGTGCTGTGGGCTACTGTGCTGGACTGCAAGGTTGGTTTGAACTGCAAGGATGGCAGTTCAAGCTTACCAGCCACTCCTCAGAAGCCCTGTACAGGGTCGCTATGAGTTGGAAGGGACTCTTGAAGGCACTTACCAACAACATTTTACAGTAGGACACTATGGACAATGAAAAGGAACCATCTACTGCTATATGTAACATAACGCTGAATAAAAGACACCCTAGAAGTCCTGGTGTGGCACTACAGGATAAGCACAGGACCACAAGGTTGTTTTGAACTGCAAGGTCGGCAGTTCAAACTTACTGCTGCTCCACAGAAACCCTATACAGGGTGGCTATGACTCAGAACCAACTGGATGCCACTGAATAACAACGATTGCATCAGGTGAAGTTCTAGAACAGACATAACAATCCAATGTGGGTATCAGATAGGAAAGGGTTTACTCTGTGGATGGGGTGACTCGGGAGGGGGGGCAGGCACTGGTCTCTTTCTTGACCTGATTGATGGTATGCACTTTATGAAAACTCACAGAGATGCAACCTTATTTGTGCCTCTTATGTACATTGTATCTCAATGGCTTAGACTAAAATGAGTAAGTGGGGCTCTATAGTTTTACCTCATTTTCTGCTCTGAGGGCTGAAAATTCACTCTTCTCCAAAATAATCATATCCTTTTTCACATTGGCAATCTGAGACATGATCTGTTGAAGAGTGATCTCCTAGGAAAAGAAAACCCAAAACACATTAGCCTAGTCTAGCCTAGGAGGCCCATTGCCTTACTGTCTCTACCTGGTACCATCCTTATGAGAAATGAGAAGGGGACTAGAGAAAAGAATCAGCCTCCTCTAGTGTGGTGTACCAGTATCAGCAATGGACCGCAAGGTTGGCAGTTCACACTCACGAGCTGCTCCTTCAAAACCCTATACAGGGGAGCTATGAGTTGGAACCAACTCTTGAGGGCACTTAACAACAACAAATTCCAAAATGAGAAAGGAAAAGAATAAAAACACATGTCCAGTACTGTCACCAAGTGAATCATAATTGAAAGGGTCTGAAGACTAGTAGTTGAAGAACACAATGATCTCATTCTGGCCATAGTTCCACTTACTAAAGGATATTTCACTCTAGTTTTTAAGGCTAATGATTTACAATAAACTACCAAATGTTGTTGTTGTTGTTGTTGTGTGCCGTGGAGTCAGTTCCGACTCATAGTGACCCTGTACAGGGTTTCCGAGGCTGTAAATCTTTACGGGAGCAGAAAGCCTCATCTTTCTCCTGCGGAACAGCTGGTAGTTTTGAACTGCTGACCTTAAGGTTCACAGTCCGATTCATAACCACTACGCTACCAAAGCTTCTTAAACTACCAAATAGCTCTAAGGAAATTTATTTTTTGAATGCCTCTGGAATCTTTTGCCTATCAACCATGATTAAACAAACCTATGGTAGGGGCTTCAAAAACTCAGGGGGAAACTCCATTAACGTTTCTTTCAACTTGCTGAAGCCCCTGCATATACTTCTCAGATGAGTAGAATCCAAAAAATTACATCCCACTTTCATATCGCAGATTTGCTGAACCACCCACCCAGGCTAACCTGCTGCATTTTGTTGACCATATCTTTGTAGACGACATCCAAGTTGGCCTCCGTGGTCTTGACCAATGCAGTCACAATAATTTCTGCTTGTTGAGTGGTAAACCCTACACAAACACACAAACACAAACACAATAACCACATTCAGAAGCATTCTAGTGTCAAAAAGGGAGACACTGTACAACCAACTTCCACATTCAGGTGAAAGTCAGGATTCGGAAGCAGGTGAAAAGCAGAGTGTTGAGGGAGCAAGAATAGGGGGTTTCAGGTTGTCATGTGTCTGTCACTCTGCACAAGTCTGAAACTTCTGAGTCTGGACTGACTGTCACCTCTAACACCCTGTCCAGCTGATAAAAGCCATGTTTTCAGAGAAGGTCTAATGACAACAGGGAATGCTTGCAACGTAATGTCAAATGAAAAAAGCAAGACTCAAAACTAGACATATAACAAACCGTTTGAAATCAAAAGGGCAGCATTTACCCAAGGACAATGGTCAAAAGGGCTAGGAAAGGAGGAGGAATGGAAACAGGAAACATGAAGGATGTGGGATACGTGATGTTACACTGTGGGGATTGTAATCAGTGCCATGAAACAAAACATGTATGAGTGTTGGATGGAAAACTGACCTGCTCTGTAAACCTTCACTCAAGTCACAATAAAAAGTTAAAAACCAGAACTAGGGACACAATTCTTTTTGTGACTCAACAAAGATTGTAGGGAATTTTTTTTCTTATCTTTCTCTGTAACGTCTAAAATTTCCACAAGTCTTTTACCAACGAATTTATATATAACTTAAAAATCATTTACTTAAATAGGAAAGTTCAATTCTAGCTTAGCTAGAAGAAGTAGCTAAGTAGTAATTTAGCTTATCAGTACTTAACAACAACAACAATGCTAAGAAAGAATATGTGTTGTTTCATTTTTTCTCTGTAATTCTCTTCTGTCACTAGTGTGGGGGACCCAGATGGGAAAAGATGTCTTCTTCTTCTACTTTTTTTATTTTTTAAAGATGGATGCTTTTACACTCAGTAAATTAGAGTGAACGAAATTGTATAATGAGTCCTGTTGTGGCGCTGTAGGATAAGCACTTACCTGCAAGATCAGTGGTTCAAACTCACCAGCCACTCCTCAGAAACCATATCCAGGGTCGCTATGAGTCAGAAATGACTCGACAGCACTTAACAACAATAACAAATTATATAAAGATAAAACTCAGTTTTCCGTAACTTCAGATAGTAGCTTATGTTTTGCATCAGAAATATTGACAAAATATTTAAACCAGGTCCCTGGAAACCAATTCTTTCTATTAAATACTTCCATCTACAAGAACGTCAGAAGAACCTATTGCTTCTAATGGTCCATTTGGTGGGATAAGACTGTAATTAACGAAGTTTGTCTGGAGGAAATGAAGCATGACACTACAATGAAAACAGAGATTTAAAGGAGAAGGGAAAAAAGCCCTCCAAAGACCTACTGTGTCAAGGTAGACAAGTTGTAAAAATTACCATATAGCATTTGACAGGTTTTTTGGAAGCATTTATTTAACTTAAAAAGGACCTAAGACGTTTCTGTTAGGATCGACCTACAGACGAGGAAATGGAAACTGAGAAGGGTACAGCTAGAACTTGGCAGAGGTGGACTTGAACCTAGGGCTTCTAATTCCCTCAGGTAAACACCGAACACATCATTCTATCATCTTGTCTTGGGCATAGACAGCACACCTACTGAGGGTAGCCTTCCAGATAAGCACAACTGGATAAACAGGTACACAATGAAGGAAGAACAGAGGGCTATTTTGAAAGGTCCCTGGGGGGTGGCACATATGGTTTTTGCTTGACTATTAACCTTCAAGGTTGGCAGTTTGAACCCACCCAGAAGCACCATGGAAGAAAGGTCTGGTGATCTCCTCCTTCGGTAAAGATGACAACCAAGAAAATCCTACAGAGCAGTTCTACTCTGTAGCATCTGGGGCTGTCCTGAGCCAGAATCAAATGGACAGTAATGGGCCAGTTTTGGTATTCATTTCAAATACTGAGTTAAAATATTCAGTGTTAACTTAAAATTCCAATTTGGAGAATATATGTATCACAGTACAATGGTGGTGGTTATGTGCCGCGGAGTCAGTTCTGACTCATAGCGACCCTGTACAGGGTTTCCGAGGCTATAAATCTTTATGGGAGCAGAAAGCCTCATCTTTCTCCTGCAGAACAGCTGGTAGTTTCAAACTGCCAACCTTGAAGTTAGCAGTACGGCTTGTAATCACTACTATAGAGAATTATAATTGGAGTATTTATAACATAAAGTACAGGAATAGTACCTATATACTAGGAGCACATTCAATTAATATCACACAAGGGGGCTTCAAAAAAAATCACATGGAAAAATTCCATTATCTTTTCATTCCATTTTTCCATGAACTTTCTGAAGACCCCTTGTAGATGCCAGAACAATCTGTATGTGAATCAAGTCTTACTAAGTTGAAATTATCAGTAGATGTTGCTCAGTGACATTTCAATTTCATAAAAAATTTAAATGCACACAAGACACACAATAATGAAACTACCACTTCTGTGCTTCTGACTAGTTGCTATAGGAAGCAGTCCTGAGTTATACTGACTTGTGTCTAAATTTTTATTTACAATACTATATTTTCACAGTGATGCTGTAAAGGATACTTCATTTGAATAAGGACACAAGTAAGAAAAGCCGCAACACTACTGACGAAGCAAAAATGTCCTCAAACAAAAAGGGAAGACTCAGGTGTTTTTTTGGAGACTGAACAAGTTTGCCTATAGACTAGAAAGTCAAAGAGAAATATGAGAAATCAGATAAATCCAGCAGAGAAATCAAAATGTATAGTGTTTCTTTATGGCACTCAGTAACCAACCAATAATAGAAGATTACCATTTTCCTCGAGTAAGCACACTAAGGCATGGGTGTCGAAGAAGAACTTCCTGGTCCCAGAGGAGGCGAAGTCCCTTCTTTTGTGTTCCAGCTGCAAGGACCCAGCTGACAGGCTGAGCTCTGGGATGGAAAGGACAACAAGGTTCAAAACACTCGTAATGGCAACAAAAGCAACAGGAAGAAAAACAACATACCCTAGCAGTCTGCTTCTTTTTGTCATCATTTCATTGAGATAGAATTCATCGGTCATACAATTCACCCCTTTAAAGTGCACAATTCCACACTTAGTAGACTTACAACTTACAATCAATTTTAGGTCATTATTAAGAGGATTTATCAGACTGTTTTTCACAGCAGTTTTATCACTTTATATATTCCTAGGGTCGCTATGGATAGGAACCGACTCGATGGCACTTAACAACAACCAGCAATGTAGGAGGGTTCCAACTCTCCACATCCTCACCAACATTTATTATGATGCCTTTCTTATTATAGTCGTTACCTGAGTTTTTTATTTTACTCATCCTAGAGGGTGTGAAGTGGTCTGTCATTGTAGTTTTGATTTGTATTTCTCTGCCAGCTATGATGTTGATCACCTTACATAATATATTGCCCATTTATATATTTTCTTGGGAGACCCTTGAGTCCAATTCTTAATTAGGTTGTCTTTTTTTGTGATCAGGCTATAAGAGTTCTCTTATGAGATATAAAATTGAAAATCCTTTTTCCCCATCCCGAGTTGTCTTCTCGCTTTCTCCAACCAAGTATGTTATTGTTGTTAAGTGGTGGTGATTTGGTTCTGATTCATAGCAACCTTATATAGGGTTTCTGAGGAGTGGCTGGTGGGTTTGAACCACTGACCTTGAGCTTAGCAGTCCAGTGCCACACCAGTACTCCTGTTTTTAATTCTGATGAAGTCAAATTTATCTGTTTTTCCTTTTGCTGTTTGGGCTTTTGGTGTCATATTCAGGAAATCATTAGCTAATCTAAATGCATGAAGATTTATACTTATGTGGTCTTCTAAGAGTTTTACAGTTTTTGCTTTCCATTTAAATCTTTGAGTTCATTTTTATTATGTGGTGAGAGATAAGAGGTCCAACCTTTATTCCTTTGCATATAGCTCTTCAGTTGTCCCAGTACCATCCGATGAAAAGACTACACTTTCTCCACTCAACTGTCTTGCCAACCTCGTTGAAAACCAATTGACTCCCTTTCCTACTATTGTAAAATTGAAACTTCAGTGGGACAGAAAGGAATGTTGGGAAACATGATTACAGAAAGCTTGTAAGTCCGACTTCAGTTTATAACTGGTTGGAATACCTAAAAGGTGTTCTAGGACTTGTCCAGTGAAATAAGCCTCCTGTGGAGCCTTTGCAGTGTATAGGACGTTAGGTGGAATCCTGAGCCCCATCCAGAACCTTCTGATGGTGGGACATTCCCACTAGAAAGGACAAGCCGACCAGCCTGGAACAGCTCGAGTGACAGAAGATACATCTTCAAAAAGGCAGTATGACTGTCTACTACAAGAATAAGCAAGTTGTTTACCGGGAAGCCATCAAGGCAAGCAATCAAGTCCCTTCAGGACAAACCCCCCTCTAAGACTGAAACTCAAAGGGAACACATGAGCAGGCAGGTAGGCTTGCTGGTGCCCATGTTGGTCTTCTAGTGAGTGGAAGAAGGGGAAAGGCAGCAATGAAGAAATGGGCTGAGTTCAACCACATTCCATAGACTCCCGTTGACCTGGAGATAAGAGAGAGAATAGGAAGGGCTGGTTGGTCCAAAGTGTGGTGAGACCTGGGGACACCTGAGCCCATGGACAAGGAACATAGCCACAGAGGGCTAGAGCTGAGAGTGAAGCATCCAGCTGATATGAAGTGATAGGGGTCGCACAAGAACACCCAAAGTTGCAGATAGTACCCATTTGGTCTAGCTTTGATGGCTTGATATTCAGAACTTGACTAGAGGAAGATAAAAGGAACAAAACAAATTTTGATAAAGGAAATGAGGGTAAATTGCTATAATTTGATGAACTTGACCTATACTCATAGAGGTTCTTCTTGTTGCTGTTAGGTACCATCGAATTGGTACCGACTCATAGCAACTCTATGCACAACATAACGAAATACTATCTGATCCTGGGCCAACCTCACAGTTGTTGCCACGCTTGAGCCCATTGATGCTGCCACTTTGCCAATCTATCTCGCTGGAGGTCTTCCTCTTTTTCTCTGAACCTCCACCTTACCAAACATGATATCCTTCTCCAGCAACTAGTCCCTCCTGACAATATGTCTGAAGTATGAGACACAAAGTTTGGCCATTATGGCTGCCAAGGAGCACTCGGGCTGCACTTCTTCAACACAGATCTGTTGGTTCTTTTGACAGTCCATGGCACTTTTAACACTCATGGAGGTAGTAACTAAATACCAACAGAGGGAAGGAGTCTTCACATCAAGTATCAATGCTATCCCCTCTGTACACAGAGTATGTTGTTGTTGTTGTTAAGTGCCGTCGAGTCAATTCCGACTGATAACAACCCTGTATAGGGTTTCCAAGGAGGAGCTGGTGAGCTTGAACCACTGACCTTGCAATTCAAACGACTTTGCAGTCTGACACATTAGCCCACAGCACCACACAGAGTAGATAGGGATGGGCAACTTAGACACTGGCTACCTAAAATGAGGGGCAATAAAGGCACGAAGTGACTGGCTTACAAGGTTTCAAGGGGGAACTTAGTTTAATAGTGTGTGGGGAAAGAGTCCCCATTGAATAGTTTTCATCTTGTCTAGATGGGTGTGGTTAAAAGAGATGGGAATAAGATTCTTATGATTCAATGAGTAATTGTTATCATGACTAATTGGAACTGTCACAATTATAAAAGTAGAAGTTTCGTAACAAAAATGGGGGAATGGTTAATCTTACAGTCCAGAAACAAAGGACCCTAGGACCATAAAGGGAGAAGAGCACAAGCGGAATGCTAGACCTTATCCAGAGAAGCAGTAACACCAGAGATGGAGGCAGAGATGGGGACATGGAGAGAGGGAGCAGCTGAGGACTCTAGATTCATGGGAAGTGAGGGACTAAAAGATGACTGCCATGAGGCAGACTTGCAGAATGTGCCCTTTGGTGGTATAAATTATTATATATGCCTGAGTGTTTAAAAAAAAAAAAAAAGAGCTAAAGTGAATAGAGAGAAATACTGTTAATTGATGGTACATTTGTTGTTGCTATGTGCTGTGAAGTTGGTTCTGACTCACAGTGATCCTGCACAGGGTTTCCGAGGCTGCAAATCTTTATGGGAGCAGAGAGCCTCATATTTCTCCCGTGGAACAGCTGGTAGTTTCAAACCGCTGACCCTGAGGTTAGCAGCCCGATTTGTAACCACTACGCTACCAGAGCTCCTCCATGGTACATGGAGGGGACTAGAATCATTGTAATGAAACAAGGTGTATGATTTGTTGAATGTAAAACTGATTATCTTCCCTGTAAAGTTTTACTCAATCCACAATAAAAACCTTTAAAAAATGTTTTTTAAAAATAAAGATAATAAGCTTTAAAAAAAGAAAGAAAGAAAACCAATTGACTGTAAAAATGAGGGTTCTGGAGTCTCTGTATGCTGCCTTTATGCTAACACCACACTATCTTGATTACTGTAGCTTTGTAATAAGTTTTAACATTAGGAAATATGTGTCTTCCAATTTGTGCTTTTTCAAGACTATTTTACTATTTTGGATCCCTTGCATTTCCATATAAATTTTAGGATCAACCTGTCCATTTCTATAAAGAAAACTAGCTGGGGTTCTGATAGGAATTGTATTAAATCTATAGATCAATTTGGGAAGTATTGGCATTTGAATAATATTAAGTCTTCCAAGCAATGTACATTGGGATGATTTTCCTCTTAGACGTTTAATTTCTTTAATGAAGTTTTGTCATTTTCAGAGTATTAGTTCTTGTTTCTTTTGTTAAATTCATTCTGAAATATTTTATTCTTCTTGCCTATTGTAAATGGGGTTGTTTTCATTTCATTTTCAGATTGCCCACTGCTACCATATTAGAATAGAGTCCTGGTGTGGCACTGTGGGTTGATGCACCTGACTGCAAAGCCTTTGAACTGCAAGGTCGGTGGTTCCAGCTCACTAGCGGCTCCTCAGAAACCCTATATAGGGTCAGTATGGGCCGGAACTGACTTGATGGCACCGAACAACAACAATCTTATTGGAACAACTGATTTTTGTGTATTGATCTTGTATCCTGCAGGGCTGCTGAACTCATTTATTAGTTCTAATAGCTTCTGAAAGGATTTCTTAGGATTTATTATATACATGGTCATGTCATCTGCAAATACTGATAGTTTTAATATCTCAGTTCCAATCTGGATGTTTTAAATTTCACTTTCTTGTCTGAACTTCCCTGGCTAGACCCTCCAATACCATGCTGTAACCAGAGTAGATTTCTTTTTCTAGTTTCTGATCTGAAGGAGGAACGCACCAGTGTTTCATCATTAGGTGTGATCTTACCACACCAGTTGCCAGCAGTCAATTCTGACTCATGTATGCCCTACGTGTATCAAAGTAGATCTGTGCTCCTAGTAGTTTCAACGGCTGAGTTACTGCAAGCCGATCATTGGGCTATTCTTCCAAGGCACCTGTGGTTACATCCAAACTTCAAACCTTTGCTTAGCTGCTGAGTGTATTAATTTTTTGCATCACCCAAACAAGTATGATGTTAAGTGTATACTTTATCAGACTAAGAAATGACCTTCTAGTCCAGTTTATTATGTTTGCTTTTTGTTTTATTTCATAATGCAAGAGTGATTAAATTGCTCAATTATGTGGGTTTTGCCCTTTATTCTACTAATATAATGTATTACATAAACTGATCTTCAGAAATTCAAACAACGTGCAATTCCTGGGATAAATCTACTTGGTCATTGTTCATTAGAATTTGGTTTGATAGAATTCTGTTGAGGACTTTTGTATCTTTATTTATAAGAGATATTAGTATAAGGTCGATATTTTTGTAAAGGCCTATCTTCAGAGAAATGTGTCCTAAACACCTTTTCCATCATTTTAATGCAATTTAACCACAGATCAAATCCATTTTGTAAGCTTCTTGTGGGA